TAAGGAACAGACTTTTGCAAATCGCCATTCGCCTTATAAAATTAACTTAAAATCTCTGATGTTCATATATATATATATATATATATATATATATAACAGAACAAAATTCGGTTTTTAAGGAAACATACAATTTGAAAATATCTCGTTTATTGCGCAATGGCGCTAAGGTTGTCAAAATAGTTAATCAGGCTTATTAAAACCGAATCTATAATCAACCTCAAATAATTGAGTGGTTTATCAACACCGTTGAGCCTATAGCAATACAATAGATACAATAAATAAGAAACAATAACCGATTGGTATTGAATGCATAGACCTCTCTTTTGATAAATCAAAATATGCGTTATACCAAAATTTCACTAACTACAACAACAATAACTACCGTTTAAAACCGAAAACATTGCAAAAGGGAAGTCTTTTCTATAAGTAATTTTCATCACTGAAAACCATAGAAATTGGTCTTTTTCGCCAAAATTGAGATTGAATAGTTCTAATTTTTTTGTGTTCAGTATAAATTGCATTGAAGATTATACATTCTACATTTCACATTGTAGAATTTGACAATAATTATAGTTAGTGCTTACGATAGATTACGGAATTTATTAACCTGTCACTTCTCCAGACAAAAGACATTTCCAATCACCATTTAGTACCCAAGACTAACCTAACTTAGCGCAGAAAACGAAGAAGGTGTCCACCCGTCCTTGGGCGAACGTTTGATTTGTAGTTCTTTGAAGACGCTGAGAACCTGATGTCGCTCCACTCTGTTCACCATAGAGAGTTATGTATACATTTGCAGTCGTTCCAGCATTTAACATATCTCCGGTTTCAACTACAATCTTGTAAGTCACCTTTGGTGCTCTGCTTGAATTGAAATTGCCTAGTAAATGAAAATCAGCAAATGGCGTAATGAGGGGAGAGCATTGAGAATGTTATTTAGCATTAGGTAGTACAATTTGCGTTACTCGATGCCGGAGATCTCACATATCGCAATTCAGCCGGTCTTGCAGCAATGGCATTATAGCGGTCGATAGCAGGTGTTGCAATTATCCATTGGTGAATGTTGAAGACGTACGTCTCGCCGTCTTTACTGTCTGTCACTAAGATACGCCTGCAATTCCACTGGTTGTGCCGATTTAGCTGAAGATTAACGTACTTTGGTTCTTCGTCAGAATCATCCATGAAGGCATCAGGGTCGTAAAGACCGACATAGACCTGTTGGATCAGTCCCAGTGGCTCACAAGTGATGCTGGAAATGTGAATACCGATTTATATTGCACTTATTTCACCAAATCGTACAGTCGTAATTACCAAAATTCGCATTGAATAACGTTGATATCAACTGTGTATCTATCCTTTTCACTGACATTTCAAACAAATTGATATTGTGGCCTTCTGTCGAAAGTACGCGAAGACCCACGAGCGTACACTGCACTAATTGAATTAAGTAAGTAAGTCGGAATGCGATTAAAAGATGCAAATCAATCAACACCAGTTCTAATAACCAATTTGACCTTTTTATCACAACCCCGTTACCATATCTTCCTCTCATCGCCTTGAGGTTTTCTAGTAAAATTCAATAATAATAGCCATGATGAAAACTAATCTCATGCGATTTCCCGTTGCACTCACTTGACCATCTGAGTGCCATCTTAGACAATTCCCCCCACAGCCATGATCTACTGTGCCAACTTGATCTTTGCATCATATTAAGAACTAAAAGGTAATTACAATTTCAGGAACGGTTGTCAAAATTGATCATCATGAAAATATTTTTGCACTTGAAAAAACATTTGCATGAAAGGTTGCTGATCGTCCGTCAAAAGTGAAATTGTAAAATTGCTTAAATTGAATCTTATGGATATCGAATTGTGATTAAAAGTTGAGCGCACGGTTCTGATATCAGTGGCCAACACTATTTACCAAGCAATATTTATACAATTTTATCACAATGTAAGTTGAAAGTATTTAGTACTTTGAAGAGGTATCTCAACCAAATCCACACTTAGATGGATATAATTGTCTCTAAAATACCATATATATGGGGTGTGTGATGGACTTACCTCCACGTGGTGCACCCTGGGCAACGTATACTCATACGGCAAAAAAGTCTATTAACTGGCAGTTGACTTCAAACTATCGGCAAAAAAATTCTATTAACCGGCAGTTGACTTCTGACTTCAACGCAAAAAGGTCTATTAACTGGCAGTTGACTTCTCACTTCACAAAAAAGTCTATTAACCGGCAGTTGACTTCTGACTACTCAAACGGCAAAAAAGTCTATAAACCGGCAGTTGACTTCTGACTGAAAAGGTCTATTAACTGGCAGTTGACTTCTGACTTCAAATAAAAGTCTATCAATCGGCAGTTGACTTCTCACTTCAAACTAAAGTCTATTACCTGGCAGTTGACTTCAAACTACCATGAGTAAGTCTATTAACTGGCAGTTGACTTCTGAGTTCAAACTATCATGACCCCAAGTCTATTAATCGGCAGTTGACTTCTGACTTCAATTACCATGATCTATTAACTGGCAGTTGACTTCTCTATGTCATATTCGAAGTCTATAAACCGGCAGTTGACTTCAAACTATCGGCAAAAAAATTCTATTAACCGGCAGTTGACTTCTGACTTCAACGGCAAAGTCTATTAACTGGTAGTTGACTTCTCCGCATACGGCAAAAAAGTCTATTAACCGGCAGTTTTCTTCTCACTTCAAACTACCATGACCCCCCTATATGTCCTACATTCTCATACGGCAAAAAAGTCTATTAACCGGCATTTGACATGACTTCAAACTACAATCACCCCACTGTATGTCAAATTCGACTACTTGACTTCAAACTACCATCATCCCACTCTATGCCATATTCGTAAATTCGACCACTTCAACAGTACTCATCTTACCTTTTCTCTTCGACTTCTCACTTCAAACTACCATCACCCCACTGTATGTCAAATTCGACCCCTTCCACAGTACTCACCTCACCTTTGCTCTACTGTCGACTTCTTCCACAGTACTAACCTCACCTTTTTTCTACCTATTTCTCACTTCAAACTACCATCACCCCACTGTATGTCATATACCTCTGACTTCAAACTACCATCACCCCACTGTATGTCATATTTCACCACTTCCACAGTACTCACCTCGCCTTTTTTCTACCTTCAGTTGACTCTAGCTACCATGACCCACTGTCTGTCATATTCGACTACTTTCACAGTACTCATCCCACCTTTGTAGCACCTTATCTACCTTCGTCTTTGATACACTCTTCTGTTTCCCCCCCCCCAATCTTTAATTTTTTACACTTTGATGTTCCTTCCCCTCTGTGTGAATTTTTTACACTTTGATGTTCCTTCCCCCTCTGTGAAGACCGAAGCCAACTAAAGAGCCAATGATAACAATCAAAACGCCTGCCATTTGATATAATAATTATTATTATTATCATAAAGACTGCCATTTGATATAGACAGTAGGTTGAAATATTTCGTCACTACCGACCTAGCACATGACTAGCACATTTTCTTTACCTGAACGTTTTACTAGAGCCTCTCTGCAGTGTTGAACTTCCGTAGGAATCTTTGAGTTCAAGAACTGGTGACAAGCCGCGTCTTCCTTTGATTATAATCCAACCAAGATGGTCCGTTCCAGCTTCCATCGCAGTACTGGTTTCCACTTCTACGGTGTATTCTTAAACAAATTGGAAAGCAAAACTGATGTTTAAAAAAATAATTCTGTTTGATTTTAAAAGTATTTGATTGACCAAGTATTGAATTGTTGTGATATATTTATATATATTAATTATTATAATTACTTAATTTTTAACTCAAAAATACCATATATTTTTAATTATAAAATGTCTGGGAATTTAAGGAAAATAAATCCACTTCAAGGCACCCTCGACCAATATAAATACGTGATCAACAATATGTGGCAAAAGCAGGCAAATATTTGCAAGAAATTAAATTATTTATTACCCAATAAGCAAAATTTATATTCTAATTTCTGCTACCGTCATGTAAATTCATCTGGCGGATAATAAATTTTATGGGCACATTCTATCGACTTTCAGTTCGAATACTTTTACGTCAAAGTTAGACCCTCGCGCATAATGTGAGCTTGGTCGGTAATGTATACGTTATGGACAAACTCTTGAGAACTTTGAAATACTGACGAAGACAATTGAATTCACTTTTGAATGTCACTTTACTGATTGTAGAGTCAGTGCATCAAGAATGGAATGAGAATTATTGGTTAGCTGGAAACCAGTTGTGGGTTGCAAATAGTTAACCTTGCACTCCGTGACTTCGTTACATTTTCACCACCGGAATACATCTTGAAGACTAATGCGCAGTATTTTAAGATTAACCAAATTATTATTCCCTTTGAAGTGAGTTTCAAGAAGTTGTGAAAAGAAATTATGAGCTAAACTGTCATCTTCAAGCAGGTATTTAAGATGAAGAAAAGTATGATGATTTGCGAAACTTGCACACCCCTTTCATCTTTTTCATATTCATCGACACTCTTGCCTCCTTTAAGTAAATTTCTCTTTCAAGTTGCCTGTGGAAAAGTGTGCTGATTTTGGAAGTACTTATTTTACTCCTTTCATCACATGCTTTTCACTTGAGATATCGGTTCTTCAAATGAAAGTTACACTAACGAACCTGTTTTCTCAACCTCATGAAACAATTTCTTGGCTGCGCTAATACTTTCATCATCTTCTTCAGCGATCGGAGAGAGACCATGGTCATTTCTTTGCAGGGCATTTGCAGGAGCTGCTTTGATATCCATAGGAAACAGGTCAACTGGAACCACCTGAGAGCTCCCATCACTTCGAATCCACTGATTGCAAGGGAAGTACCAACTTTGTGGGGGGATGAAACTTCCTTCTGGCAGTATCTCAGTCACGTAGATCCATTCACAATTCCAGGATTCAGGTTCCATTCGGCTATCGTGCCAAAGAAGGCATCCATTCAATTCGCCGAGATCGGGAAGATTACTGATAGTGAACTGATCTATCTAGAGTGGGGGGAAAAATTTTGCTTTTTTAAACATTGAGCCGTGAGGTGCAACCACTTATTAATCTTCAAAAGTTTCGATACTAAATAAATACGATAAATTGTTTATTAAAATAATATAACGCTGTTGGCAGATGGGCCAAGTTATTTCGCTGTTATGCCAGACAGTTCTATTTAGAAATCATTATCTAGATGTGACGACTTTAACTAATACAAATCTGAACGCTCAATAAAGATCTAAGCTTGGGAACTCTTTGAAAGTCGATGTAAACAAATCACGTTTAATAATAATGGGATTTCTAAAATTCATTGCATCTTGGCATCAATTCAAGTTATTGTTTATGTTGACTTTTCCCATGAAGAGAATTATCTCCTAATATGGTCGCCAAATTTTGGGTGTATTGGCTGAATAAAAAATTTCTGCGAAATTATGGCTTTCCTGATGGTAAGTAAAACAATGGGAAAACGCGTTTAACCCCTTTTCGATTCCTTTCAAAGAAGTGATCATATTCCACAAATGGATATTTTAGAATCTTACTAAAAAATTGACTTATCTTCCCCCATTTAAAAGACTTTTTCCTTAAATGAGACCTATAATGCACTTACTTCAATTGACGCACAATGAAATAGTTTATACCTGATTCTTTTCAAATGGCTTGATATTGGACTCTGAGTCCTTCAGATGAATATCCATGGATTGAAATTTGTCACCAAGTAAACGAATAAAGACGTCGGCATTTGTTCCTGCGTCTGGAAGATTTGATGTCTTCACTCGGATTTTGTAAGCTGTAACTATTTACACAATATATATATATATATATATATATTAATTTATTTATTTATCAAAATTTATGACAATTATTGCTCATTTTTATCTGTCAGTTTTCATTAAAGTATAATTATGCTATATTAAAAGGAGAAACGGCGGAAAAATTAATTAATTCCTGAGATTTAAAAATCCGATTGAAGTACACGTGATAACGTTGTATTCGTTTCTTAGGAGAGAGGAACTTAAGTAATCCGCTCAAAAAACGTTAACTAGAGGTGACGTGACCAAATTTAATTGGAATAGATATGTTTATTTACACATAAGTGAAGAATTGCAATTAGGAAGTAAATATTAAGTAGAAAATGGATGTGCGATAGACTAACCTCTACGTATTCTCATACGGCAAAAAGGTCTATTAACTGGCAGTTGACTTCTGACTTAAATCTTCCATGACCCCACTATTTGTCATATTTCAACACTTCCACAGTACTCACCTCACTTTTTTTCTACCTTTGTACCTCTGTCTCTTTTACATATTTAAATCACTCATCTCTTCCCCCCTCTGACATTTTTCTCACTTTGATGTTCCTCCTCTCCTCTGTGAAGTCCGAAGTCAGCTAAAGGGCTAATGATGACTATCAAAACACCTACCGCTTGAAATGAATAAATAATATTAAGTAGAAAATAAATCCATGAAGATAAAGTCAAAACTCCTAGTGGTGCTTCACCGTTTGAATACATGTTTTCATAAATTCTGATTTTAGAATATACGCCAGAGTAGTTCAGAATTTAAATAATTATTTAACTTAACAGAAAAAGCGCTAATGTACCATGAGATTTGAAACAGATTTCATACCAGATTTTGGTGGGCAAATGAACTTTACTTTTCCACAAGAAATATTAAATTATGATAAAGTTAAAACCTTACTTCAAGGATCAAGCATGAAATATCCGTCTGAAGTTTAAATAACTTAATAAGAGAGAAATATGGAAGCATTAGAAATTCTTTAAAATTCTTCAACTTTAAATTTTGAACTATTTTTGAAGACAGCATTAATCCAACTCTTAAAAATTGTCGTGCTTGCGTGATCTGGCATTTTCAACTGCAATATATAAAGCGAAACATTGTGTAAAATATCTCATAGTCACAACGTAATTAAAACTTTTAATAATATGTAGCGTTAAAGTATTCATAGGGAGAAATGCAAGGGATTATATACCGGGCGGTTTTACTGGCGGTGTGCTTGTTAATTCGCAGGTTCGGGACAAGCGCTGATTGAAGTTAAACTGCCATTCCGTGAAGAAGTATCGCTTTTTTACCGTTCCATCCTCCAGTTCTAGAATAGCATTCGAAATCCACCAATCAATTTGTCTCTAAAAACAAAAAAACTTCAAATATTCAGTAACAAACTGACAAAACTATTCAAAACTCAAAATTTTATTTCCAACTTTAAGGAAAAAGTGGGATACAATCCAAAAACAATTTAAATCTGGACCTGAAAGCAGGGAGCCAATTCAAAAGATAATTAGAAGCTGACTAATTCATAAGTATTTATATTAGATTGGATTTCGAGCAAGGGAAGTAAGTTATCAATTAGTGAACTCAGTCTGTTTGCTACCTTTCTCAATATTGATATGAAAATAACTTCTAAATTCCTGCGTATAGTTGAAAATACTTAAGATTTTTTATGGATGAATCATTACGATGTTACCCCAGGTAGCCTCTATTGTTAATTCTGTTCATGTACTCGGAAAGCTTACTTAACACAATACTACTCATAAATACGAACATTTATTTGCTATTTATCAGTCATGAAATTGAAAATATCTCTGCGTGACGATTGCCGTCCATAGAATAATATGAGCATACCAGGATCCCTTGTACGAGATGCATTTATCATCAACCTACTTTTAAACTTTAAAAGTATCCATCGATATTTACGATCAGGCTGAAAGTTGCTATTAATCACGCAGTATTCTACCTTTAACATGTTTATTCAAGGTCTTGTTGAATAATTCAAACATAAACTGGTTGTAGCAATTCCATAAAGGCTAAACCCTCTGTGCTAATTCCCGGATGAAATTTACACTTACGTCCCTTGTAATATTTCATATTTCATTCCGATCAATGTGACAATGCAATATTTACAGCCAAATGGATCTACCTCTGTCAATTCACTCATATGATTCATATACATTTGCCTTTATTTATCGATTTGCACCTGTAAGAGCGGCGTGTATGACCCCTCGGTATACAACTTGTTCACCATAGTTAATGCTCACTCTTAGCATCCTATTTTCAAGTATTTTGTACTTACTTACAGGCAAACAAGTTCATTAGTTTATAGTACTTTTCATGCCCCTTCCAAATATTTTAAATTTTCCCACATTTATACGTGACACAATAATACAATTGTTTTCATCATTGTGAATAAGCTGCTAACCACTGATTACTATTAATATAGTCAAACACATTCAGGATAGCAACTATTTCATAACCAATCTTTTTGGTATCAGAAACAAATGTTCTCCCATAGATCAATAGGTTAGCAGGTAGGAGCAAAATACTCACTTCTCCATCACTATTTGACTCGAACATAATTTTTATGCGCGAGATGAGATTCACATCCTCCTTGGCATAGAACTGCAGCATCAACAGTCGGGTTTGTGCAACCCAGTCCTGATTAATCACTTCAATGTCAGTTGTCACACCGTAATTCCCAATGATTTGCAGCGCAATATTGGGCCCCAAATTTGGAGGCATCTGGCCATCTAACCACAACTTGAGGGTGAAAGTTTGCCTCTCCTTTGACACAACTAGTAAAAGAAAAAATGAAATAAAATCCCTTTAGGAGCCTTGTACGGAATTTTATCCTTTCAGCACTTCCCAAATCAGGAATAGAATTTTAGCGCCTGGAGACTCAAAATCTCAAATAGAAAATAAAATTTTCGTACAGTCAATGACTTCTCGCAGATTTTACCAAATTAAAATCTATCTCAATAATTTCGAATTTACTGATATGCAGGTTGTCTGAAATTGAACCCCTTATAACGATCTTTAAATGTTTAAGTGGTCTCAAAAGTTCGTGGTAGCACCTGGAATGCAAGGCTGTTAATGTGGGACGAAAATATTAAATTTCAAATTAGAGGTATCTTGTAAAGATCAAGTAAATTGATTCTGTGCTGAAGCTTCGGAGGTTTTGGAGATCATAGGTGAATGCTGAGGACCAATTTGCATTTTCAGTGAAACATAATGTTGCCTTTTTCCTTTAACTTTGGTTTTTTTAATCAATTATAAGTAGACGAAATACTTAAATTGTAAATAGTAAGTTAAACCTCAATCAATACTCATTTGACTTGAAATTTGTTCAGACAAAATTGAAGCATACCGGATTCTTTCTCGACTAAGTATTCGGGAGATATAGTGATTCTGTGATATGCCCTATTGCCGTCTTTCCTATTTGTCACCCAGAAATCGCAGGGAATATCGTAGGTCATTTTCCTACTAGGAATCTCAACGACCATGTGCTTCAAGTACCAACCAGATCCAGATTGCTTCTCTGATTGATCATAAATCTATATTAAGACAAAACACAAATATTAAATTAAAATTAAAATATCTATATATTTCCGTCTTATTGATCCCTTTCAGTGTTTCTTAAATCAACACAAAGTGCAAAGGAGAATATGCCATCAAATGTGATTTCTATTGGCTATCAACAGTTTTGTTTTTATTCAATTTTTTGGTCGTTCTTAGCATATGCCATTTATCACAACTCTTTTGACGTTAACTTTTTTAGTATTTCGTTGGTATTACCTTCTCGAATTATATTATTCTCTCTTATTTATTCGACAATATTTTTCCCACTAGGCGTTGCTAGGGTTTTATATTATCAATTTTTCAATTTTTCCAACTTCTTATTAACGAGTTTTATCCATTTATTTGCTAAAACTTTTTATGAAGCTACTTGGCATTTTAGAAATTTATCGGTTTTCCCTACACACGTATTTTGGCATAATTGATAAGGAAACAATATTTCGACGTTCCGTTTCGCTTAATACTGATATGGTATGAAAAGATTTTGAGTCTGGAAGGTACCACTTTTGTAGAATGTGGTTTTGTTTATTATCCGACTAAAAAACTAGAAAGCTCTTTAGTTTCACCTAACTATTCATCTTTAAACAGGCCTCAATTTATCTAACGTTCAACAATAGGTCCCAAACACGGGATGTGTGAGTATGCAATCTATTCACTCGGCAACCATTTACGGGAAATATGATCTAGAGGCTATAAATGAAAGGGTTCTACGCATATAAAAACCTCAATAGCCTTGATCTCCGTTAATGGTGGTGCACTAAAGACGAAGGTTTTGTGCGAACCCGCAGGCAGTTCTGTATTTCCAGTTAGTGTCTGGAAGAAAAGCCAACCCGTAGAAGCACCATTCGATCCCACAAGATTCATTAAAATAGGACCACTGGTTCCGGCATCCGCATGTCTTCCAGTCTCCAGAGTAATTTTATATGGAACTGAAATACGTTAATGCATAAAAAATTATAAATTAAGAACTATTTATTTAATCGATTATTTAAAATCAAAGGCCTGTAAGAAAATGGAAAATTAATCAGATTAATTAAAATGCTTTTCGAATGCACTATGGACAGCAAAATGACTAGCTTGTTAAAATGACTCAATTAGGAAGTACACTCTTGGCGAATTTGTTCACAATAATGAGATTCATAATTAAATACATTCCAAAGGAGCATAGTTACTCTTAATACATACCTTCTTCTTCGTCTTCAGTCATGGAAAGCATATCTGGAAGTAAATTAAATAATTTTGACAATGTTGGTTGCTTCCGATTTTGCTCTTTTGATTCATTTCATTGAAACTGGATTAAAAATCGAAATTTGCCTACATGGCAATTGTCGAACGTGGTCTACTTAAAGTGAGTTTATTGATGACAAATAACATCAATTAATCGACTTTAAAGAATGTCCAAAAATAACCTCCAGAGTTAGATTTTTTCTGTTATTTCCGTCAAAAACAACATAAATCTCAATATCGTTCACGAGATATAAGGCGGTTTGTTCTGTTTGGGGTGCGTTTTTGTAAATGGAGGTTTGTATTTGTCGTAATCTAGCGATTTTCATAAAAGTCTTTCCGCTCCCAGTTTAGCAATAGATGAATCCTTGTGGAGAAGTCACAATTGAATGGGAGAGGGGGTATTGAGGGTCCTAAGAGACGGTTTTCAATATCCGCCATAAACTTGAATCAATTAATTAAATCTAATCAAAAGAGCAATACATTACAGTGTCCACTATATGAAATGGGGAGCAAATCTCAAATTTCAAGGAAAATAGGAATCCTGATTTCACGAACGCTCAATGATCCCTAAATTGGTCTTTTATGGTATGATTAAACGTTTGCAACATCGCACGAATGATATTGCTTATGCATATAACTTCCCAAGAGAAAAAAAATAAGTTCTTGTTTCAAATTATACATTAATTTTCTAAATTGTTAAACACGTTGATATTTGAGAAGTCAGCTTATCGAATTCATTAGAGATAGAATGCAAAAAAACTAACAGTATTTTAGTTGCAACTTTAAAAACTTGATATTATAATCTTTTTGAGTTAGCGTTTCTCCAAATCTGTAAATTTGGAAATTGAGGACAAATTGATGCTCATCTGACACAGCTTCGGTCAAGATAGGCCGCAAGAACCTCGTCATATTTATTTCTGGTGTCGTACAGATAAATCCAACAAAAATCAGACTCGCTAAATTAAGGCAATAGGTTTCAGGAACTACCTTACACCTAAGGAAGTGCTAAATATTTTTAATTAAACGCTTTTTTCTGCATTGCAGAGCTTGAAATATCATATAGTCTAAAATGGCATAATTTTATCCTCATGAAAACTTAAAAAATTGACTATAAATTGAAAGGAATGGGCAAGTTTCGAGAGTTTTGCACATTTTTCTAATCAAGATTATATGCCAAAATGTCAAGATTAGTTTTCAAAGACAATAAATGTACCATAAGCACATGCACGATATTATACTAATGTGCCGCGTTATAAGTTACCAAATTATATTCAAAATAATTTTAAGTCAACAAAAATATTTGGTTAATAGCATCGATTTTGGGCTACCTCGTGTTGTAATGATAAAGATCATAACCAATCAAAATTACCTTCTTCATCGGACCCCGATACAGGTTGGAAAGAACCCATGGAAACAGGAGGAATATTTGATCGAGCACCATCATCGTAGTCATTTAAAGTTGGACGCTGCTGTGAGCCATTTAAGCTCCCTTGTGAAAGAGGAGATGGTGTTATAGGCATACCTATATTTCCAAGGTCATCAGATTTTAGCGCCGACATAAGATTAAGTTGAGGTGTAGATGAAAGTTTATTTCTCGGTGTAGATAAATCTTCTAAGGACGATGAAGGCGATGAAGAACTTAGAGATGATTGAGGAATTGTTGTAAACTCTTCACCGTTATAGCTAATCCATCGGTTACAAATGAACTTCTGAATTTGTTCACGAATTCCACTTGATGTTATCTGACTAACAACGACCTCTTTGATAAACCAGGCTGGCGAAATTCCACTGTTATCATGACGTAAGCATATCGTCCTAATTTCATTTAGTGGAACGTTCTCCCATACGAATACGTCAGTCTAAAGTAAATGAAATCCCTTTAATGTAGGATAGACAATTGTAAGCAAGGTAAGTTTGCTATCGCCCTAATGAACATTGTTTTAAAATTTCATTTTATAAGCACAACCGTTGCGCACCATTCCATACAAGTTACCGTATCTAGTGAGTCGCACACGCATAATAATTGCGGCAGTCAGTATCAATATAAAATATATCCCCCAATTGCTATGAGCCGTTTGAAAACCACTTCGCTATTATCATTATTTTGCTCACATTTGCATTCAATGAAGTACTAGAAAAACTAAGCCAGAATGGACGATAAACTCTTAAAAGTGAACGGAAGTTGTTTAGTTTATGACACAATTAAACAATAATCGTTATTGTCACAGGCTTCCCATTGGCACAAACCCAAAACGGTGTGGATAAATGCAAAAAAACAATTAGAGCAAATTAAAGGCCATGTGTGCCGTTTCGACACAAATGAGTGTAATTTTTATTCTGATTTACGAATTTCTAAATCAATTAAAGGGGGCGTTACACTAGAGGAGAAGTCAAGCGACCATTTTATACTTTATAGAGAGACTTTACAAACTCTGGTAAGTAAGCTTTCAAAGGCAAAAGGGTTTAAATATGCTTCACAAAAATTATTGAAATGGAAATATATAAGTCTAATTTGCATTCACTTGGAAAGCAAATTGACATTTCCGCAGTTAATTTCTTTGAGTGGCTATGTTTTCTTTTAAGAGCCAATCCTTTGTCTAGAAGCTCTATGCGGACAATGCCTTATTTTTTTATGGTCTACCTTGATTGCATTCGTTTGGGTAAGTAATGATATTTTTCCTTTCAATTATCAAGATATGATCATTTCAATCTTTTTTAAGTCAAATTTAAAACTTTGAAAAAATCAATCCTTGATTTCAATTGTTCTATAATTTTGCAGTAGGCCGTTAATGGGGGGGGGGCGGTTTCAACCAATGAAAAATGTAATGACGTCATTCTAAACCAATAAGCAATCACCGTTATCACACATTCTGAATGCGTCCGTTGAATAAAAAACTATTAATTTAATCGTGGAATCAGTGAAGAAATTCAAACAGACATGAAATCAAATTTCATCGAGTATTTCAATTTTATGCACACAGCATTAATTTCACCTAATGTGGTTTTTTTCTGTAAAAGATGAGGTCAGTCATGTAGTGTCATAGTGTGCATCTGAAGAGACCTTCAACTTGATTCCAATTTTAAAGTTCGCCTGTGTCTCCATGCCCATCCCAAAACATTTCTTTGTTGAAATTCAACCGAAGGACACAAATTCCAACTTAACACATCGTGGCTTCTGATTTTTCAAATAGGCCATTTAGTTTAGAGATATGGTGGAGAAATAAGAAAGAAATCTGGAGTTTTGTTTAGTCTCTTCAGATCTTATCACTACTTATTCACCTTGGCTTTCTTCCTCCCTTTGCTCAGGTGTGGTCGTTATTGACCACACAGAGAAAATTTTACCTGATCCTCGAGCCTAATGAGGTCACGAAAGTTTGGCCTTTTTGCTGCACATTGGCTTAAAATATGCCTCACTCTCTTCATACGATCTCGTCGTCTAATAACAAAAATTCTTTGAACATGGCAATGCCATTTTGCACGCTCTTATCTTAAAAATAGATCAGTTATAAGGATGACAGTAATTTAAATAGATTACAATAATTGAACTCATAAATTCAGGCTTCAATATGCCAATCTCACATAAATGGAACCACATAAAAGGCAACAAAAACAGAAAGAAAACTGCCTTAAGTGGTCATTTATTTATTTAATGTCTCTATCTTTACTTGGTTCAGTGCATAATCTTGCGAGAACTCAAGTCTTAAAAGAGCAGTTTCACTGATTGTTTTCCTATTGTTACAGATGTCTTCCCATCAGTCAGGATTATTTTACCGAAGGAATATCTAACCCCTTATAGTTATAGTAGCAAAGCGCACATTACCTTTCAACAATGCGCTTTAAGTATTGAGTGAACTTTAATTTTCTGCCTTATCTCGTTCTAAATTGGGCATCACCAATACTCACCTGCCCAGAGTGGAACAACCTCTTGGGGGATTTCGTCGATGTTAGCTGCCGCTCTTCTTTGCGTCCATCAGCATCGATCATGCTGAGAAACACTCGAGAGGTTGTGCCAGCATTTCTAATGTCACCCGTTGTCACAGCAATTTCATAGGTAGTTTTCCTGCCTCCTTTAGTTGCGACCCAATTTCTCATTTTGCCTACTCTGGCATTCAGTACGACTTCTGTTCCGCAAATATCCGAGAGCCAACGATTGCATGCAAAAATGTAGGCTTCATTCTAAGGATTTTTAAACGTTATATTACAATTGAGTTCAATTTTCAGCCTTCTGACTTATATAAACTAAAAACTTTGTAAATCCACAAACTGGAGTGAGATTCATTATGATCTTTTAACCCTATCTCACTCGTTTTTTAATTCTATTTGATAACAAATTGGAAATACAGTTGAAAAACGCATGATTAAGACAATTAATGGAATTAATGCACAAAATATGAAATTTCCCGTGGAGCCAAGTATCAATACTTAATGCCCTGAATAAACTTGATATAATCAATCTAAACAATATGCTTTCACTGAACCGAGAAATGAAACTCATCAATTCAGTGGGTAGTTAGTAAATACCCTCCATAGAAAGGGCAAAATGAGACTTCTCCTTTGTCTAAACTTTCTTTCTTATGATGCTTTAATCATAACACCTTGGAATTTCCAACTATGGTCGTATTCTGCTGGCTGAACAATCAAAATAAGCATAAGTCCCTAAAAAGAAAATTCAAAAGGAATTCAGTACGTTTCACTATTTGCTAAGAGAAATGAATGGTTTAAGCCCACATGCCTGAATGCCATTCATGTTGCATCTTTTAAGAAATCAGCGTAAACTCTCGGAAACTTGTATGACACTGAGTTGAAGCGTGTAGAACTTATTTATGAACTGATTCTCTTAATTATTTTCTCAAACTAAATCCAGTTCTATTCTGTCACCCCAATGGATAATCTAAGTTATTACCTGTTATTGATTAAGTAATAACCTTTTCCATGGAAATCGACATTTATTGCAGTTGTCACATTAGATGGGGTCCCATAATAACTTTAAATTTAATTTTTAAACGTGCCAAAACCTTTGAAATTTAAATAGTTTTTCCTTTTAAACTTGCAATTAAACTGAAATTCCATGGGATTAATATATCAACTTATAATTCAAATAACAGTATTTGGTTTGCTTTTTATTCTAACACAAAGTCCATTTTCAAGAAATAAATAAATTTTGATTTGACAAAGACATATATGAGCGACAAAATGTTTTTTTATTAAACTCTGTTGTCCATTCGAGCTACTATTACTTTGGATTTACGCCAACTTGAAATGCAACAACAAACTGCAAGAAGTTATAAATGTAAATCTCAAATCGCATTATTGTATCTCAATTAACAACTTGACCCTTCTACTGACACCGCTTAATCACCAATTAGTGACTCTAGTCTATGTTATACCAACAAACGAAATGACAGCATTTCATACTCCGAGCATAATCGGTATAATTACGAAGGGTAACTAAAATCATGGGGTTATTTAACTGACCTCCAGGTTACATAGGTATAGTAGCTCTTTGTCTAACAGAGACAAACTGAATCACAACAAAAATTGCTGGTGCTCCCAGGGGATGCCCATGACGTTTCACACTCCAATAGCCCAATCACTTCAAATCATCTCAAAAGCCCTAAATTAACCATCCATGCTTACTTTTTTGTTTATTCTGCTGGAATTAGTCCTCTGCAAGCTACAGTTTGGACTATTATTTAATTTCATATATATTTTTCCGTTGCGATATTCAGTTTACGTTGATTAGTACCATATCACTAACATCACAGATACTAATCAAAAAAATTAATGAATCAACAAAATCTGGACATCATATTAGTAGATTAACTGAAGAAGTGGAAGATAAATCCAACTATTTGACAAATGCCTGCCACTGGCTACGCAATGGTTTACTGATTAGTATTTTTTAATGCTTCAATTTAAATTTTCCAATAGAGATTTACTGACATTGAGCATTTCAACTCAATCCAAATTCTACGTGCTTTAAAGTATGTATCTTTAATTTCAAATTTAGTCTGACAAACTAGAAAAGAAATAACAAATACATCAAACGTGGCGTGATTTTACTAAGCAGAAAAATTACAAATACATTCTCTGGAGGAAATTTTCGTGATCAATAAAAATGTTTCTGTTTGCATGAACCATGTGGACATTAATGGCGCAAATTTTAAGCAAAATCTGATGGGCATAAAGATTGGTCAAAGCTACGATGTCCGCGGTAGATGGCAAGAATTAGATAAAGGGAGAAGCTTTATTGCCCCTGAAATTAAGTTACTGACGACTTACCTCTGACAACTTGCTTCCCGTTGGTCGTACCTCGACGCAATCTAAATGCCAAGCTGGATTGAACCCAGAATTGTCGTGTTTTATGCGAAGATTTTGAAGGGGTTCACCAACATCTTCTAGTTTTATGTAGAGTACTTCGCGTTCGCCTCTTTCGAAATTTCCGTTCAGCCGAACTTCTGATGTATGACGACCGTTAGCTCCTGTTAGAGTCGCAAACACATTAGCATCTGTCCAGGCATTTAGGACATCACTGGTGTAGATTTTGAATTCATAGAATACGGCTGCAATTAGATTTTGGACGAGTAAACACACACATAATCATAAAATTTAAACATAATAATTTTTAAAATATTTTACTTTTAATTGAAAGGGGCGCGCATTAGATTGACCTCCACGTGATGCACCCTGGGCAACGTATACTCATACGGCAAAAAAGTCTATTAACCCGCAGTTGACATCTGACTTCAAACTAACGTGATCACACTATATGTCAAATTCGACCACTTCAACAGGACTCATCTTACCTTTTCTCTGCATTTTTGTGTCCATCTGTCTCTATACACCTGTGAATCACTCTTCGTTCCTCTCTCTCGAAGTTTTCCAACTATGATGTTCCTCCCCTCTGTGAAGTTCGGAGTCTGCAAAAGGGCTAATGATAACAATCAAAACACCTGACATTTGAAATAAATAAGCTATTAATTAAAAACTATCCTATATATATACATATATATATATATATATATGAACATTTTTCGTGTGGCGAAGATTAAAATGGTGTATTTTGTGTGAAGGCACTTCTAAACTATTGATTTAATAAATCTCAAGGCAATATCAACCAGAAATTACTCCTATTAAATAAATTAGGATTTTGCGCTATAAAATCCCATAATAGTTGACTTGCGCTTTTAACAATTGGAAAAACATTTATTTATTTTATATTACTCAAATCGTTTGCATCTCTAGATTACAACCTGTTCATTAATCAATAATATTTTCATAAATTACGTTTGTGCAGAACACAAACCATAGTATAATTAAACTAAGCAATCTCATGCGCACTCGAACTTTCTGGAACGTGTGACACGGTGCTGTTCACATTAGGGAGCACATGAGATCTGGAGTACAGAGACCTCTCTACAAATCCACAATCATTATTCAGTACATAGTCAGCCTACCTTAAACCGTATATTATGACTAGGCTGCCCCAGAGTCCTCATATATATATATATATATATATCGTAATCATAATAAGCACGGCCTCAAAGAACACTTTTCACGTTCTGTTTCCTCGTTATAGTTGAGGTGGCTTAGTTCATTTTGAGAGTCCTTCCAAAGAAGGGGGATTTTACAAGGGAGATGACTGAGGTTTAGTCAAGGCTTATTCGTGTAGCAATTTGCCACATACCAATAGAAAGAATTGGCGTTCTCCCACCTGCTTCCCACTTGACCTCAATTAAAACTAAAACGATTCCGACCCGATTTCGAAAGTGTGTTTATTTTAAAAATTATATTGTCCTATAATGTGGACGTAATCGCTAAAATTAAACACTCTTTTCAGAGACACTAAAATATCCGACTGAGGTCCCAACCGTTATAAGGCCCTTTGTATTAAAGTCTAAAACTTCTTGCAAATTCAAACCTTTCTCTTAGCTGCCTAAGGTTGGCGATATGGGGTGTTTTTCTTTGACACAATATAAAGTCCTTTAAGTTACAGTAACTTGATATCAGCTAACTTCAACTAATTAGCTGTAATCTACGAAATGCAATATTATGTGATCAGGGTCAGAAGTACTTTTCTCTGTACGTTCCAAATACAGTTAGTTATACCTCTCAGTTTTTAGCCATTCTTATCAAAATCAATGACTTGTAGAGATCCCTTTACAAGGCGTTCTCAAGATTTCTTTCCCGCGTTTATTAATGAATAATATTTTGATATTTCTAATTATAATCCCTATTTTGAAATTATTTTCTTTCAATATTGAGAGAAATGAAAATCGTCAAACAGTAGTCAATAAAATTTCAGTTGACCATAGACATTAAAGCCATCAATATTTAAAACAATACATAAACATTTTTGACTCATATATTATATGAACAGAGATGGAATCGAAACATACATGTTCCAAATGGGCTGGAAGAGAACAACTGCGAGCTCAAATCAACGTAGGCATCTCCATATTGACCGGATTTCCCTATCCACTGGTTGCAGGGGTACTCGACTACCGATCCACTCTCTTTAGACTCTACTTCCAATTTATCAACGTACCAGGATGGAGACGGGCCCGAATTATTGTGACCTAGTCTGAAATGTATGAAATTGCGAAGTGATCAATGAAAAGACTCATATGCAATGTAAAGTCTCCTTGATCCATTCAAGTGCTTTTATACAGTGAATATGAGTGCTCGAAAGAAGATCATATCATCTGTTATAATTGATAGTCAGCTTAGACGTTGAAGTTTAATAACAATTAGAATTACATAGTAAAAGAACGAAACATTTTCTGCATTTCATTTTTGGAAAAAACTAGTAAATAAGTATTCTAGACAAAATCAATAACGATCATTTGAACTGAAAGGTTTAAGATAGAGAAATGGCTAACCAGCAGTTTCGAGTAATTAATACGATGCCACATGAGTTATCCCAAGCACACCATTTTTTCCCTAAAGATCGAAGAGTTTCTATGGAGGTTGGGGTATTTGACTTTTATAAAAGCTGTCTACAATAATATCATGCTTCTTTGACAGAAAATTACTAAATTCGACAGTACGTTAAAATTTATTGGTGATTATGCAGTAATGTTAGCATCATCAACTGCGGTGCTTAAACCCCAAAGAGCAAAAGTCTAACACATTTCGGTCATATTTCAGCATTAACTTATCACCAACTCGAATCAAAATAGTTAAGAGCGTAGATATGAGCCAAGGCAATTAAAATAGTTAACAACGCGTATTTTTCGAGAAAGCGAACATCAAGAAGTCTTAAAACAACCTTCTACAGTTCATGGACTCAAGACCTGTAATTTGCTCAATAAAGTGATGCTGATATATATATATATATATATATATATATATAAGCATTTTGTTGATATCACTAATCATGATTCACGAACCTCAGTTACACCAAAATTGCATAGGCGTTAGATGGTATCGGCTGAAATANCAACCTTCTACAGTTCATGGACTCAAGACCTGTAATTTGCTCAATAAAGTGATGCTGATATATATATATATATATATATATATATATAAGCATTTTGTTGATATCACTAATCATGATTCACGAACCTCAGTTACACCAAAATTGCATAGGCGTTAGATGGTATCGGCTGAAATACGCACCTTATTACGAGTTGCCTCCACAATTGTGAGGCATATTTCAATCTGCTCATAAACTGGATAATTCGCATTTTGCTCTCACGATACCTATCAATAATAATAATAGATTTTCCTTCCTTTACAACTTCTATTTATGGAAAAAGTACTAAATCTGTTTTTACAACTGCGGCAAAATGCACAAATTTAGGGTTTATTCGATGAATCACCTTTATAAGCCTTACCAATGAAGTCCATAGAGCACTGCAAACAATGCCCTTTAAGGTTTATAATTCTTCAATTAGATCATGTTTTCATAATTTCTGCTATCGATTTCAGCGGATTTTTTTATTTGTACAAAAAATTAAATATCCTCGTTTTATGAATGAGTAATTTTGAGTAATTTCATTAGCATAAAGGCCGAGAGATTAACATTTTACTATAAATAAATATTTTCCCTTTAGAACCTTCAGAGGAACTGCGCTCAGTAATACCCCAAATTAATTGAAGAAATTATTTCCCCACAATTGTCGATCTTAATTCACTGATCTCTTGAAGGCGTGTATTTTCTTCGAATTTCATAAACAAAATTATATTATTCCGCTTTTAGACGGCTTTACAACAGCTCGTTTTAACAAACCTCCGATGAAGAACTCAAAGTATGCAAACCAGTTTGTTAACTAAAACTGTTGATCAATTATCTTACGAGGTACGTACAGATGTGCATCGAGAAGGTAACGCACGACGTTTTAGACAAATAATAACCACTGCCCGCTCGCTATATTACTTCATCTCAACCTAACGAACGTGATAAAGCAATGAATTATTTGAGTGCTTTATATTTACTTTTGCGCAATATAGACTAAATTGATAAGGGGTTGTATTTTCGTCTTGATTTGAGTTTTTTGTAAAATTTAAAAAGTTGAGAGAAAACTTTTAACTATGCTTGACGTATAAATCCATTTAGCCAGTACTGAGGACAATTTCAGACTTAGAGTTTCAACAAACAAGGAATTATTTACTAATAGAAAAAAATGCCCACAAATAATAGAATAGTAATTTGAGTAATCATTAATATTACGATCTGTCAATCCATACTTAAGATCTGGCTCAAATGAAAAATTATTTCACTCATCTCCTTTCTTTCCGCTGTCAGATCAGCATTAGGATAACTGCTAACCTCTTCCAACTAACGAACTATTCTTTAAAAGACGCTTAAAGGCTTTGAAATGCTTACCTAATGTTCGTTAATACTCCAATGTCTGGCATGCTGATAAGGAAGTTATCCGTATTTCCTGTTTGAAATTTCCTTTTCCCAGTTACACCATTTGTGGGCGATGCGTTGTTCAGGATGATCTTTCCAGTACTACCCTTATCTCCTTGCAAAATCAAGTAGACTTCGCTTGAAGTTCCCGCTTCCGCGTTTGCTCCTGTGACTATGCTAACTCTGTAAGTCAATGCTACAAGACAAAAAATCGATAATTAGCAAGAATTCGTATTTTGACTAAAATGTGCTAATTTCACTTGCCCGTTTGGCTGTTCATATCTTCATAATCGCCCTTTGCCACGATAACGTTTACTGAAAATAAGTAAATTTAAATTTATTTGATAACGAAAATAAACTTCGATCTTTAGCTATCTAATACGTTTTTAAGAACTTCTGGACAAAGTCTCTGCAAGGGATTCAAAGCGCACTTATTTTCCCCAGAAGAAAAAGGCTTTTAAGATCAGTAATTAAAATGGATCAGATAAATTTAGTAAAATTTTGTGGAGAAATATTTTAAAGACGTAGAATATCGCTCAGCCAAGTTTGCATAAAATACTAGTACAAACTTTGTCAAAAAAACTCATTTGTTTATATTCGCACAAGTTAATCATAAGTAGAAAAATAAATTATTCGCTTAGAGAAAAAAATTGAAATTGACAGTTCGTCAACAGTTCCAAATATTTTACTTAAAAATAAATCTTCATATCTTAAAATTGTTTGTCTTAATTTAAAATGGTTATTTTTAAAAATTAATTTTTTAATTAACTATAATCCATCATTGCACCTAATTTTATATCAAGTAATACTATTATTTAAATAAACTAAAAACTGTTGATACTGATTTAAAATCATTTTTGTATTCTAAAATAAGATAACATGATGAAACTTTGGACTTACTTGGAGAATTGACTTCTCTGGTGGAATTCTTCGATTCTATAGAATAAAATTAATTTAATTACGGAGACTCCATTGATTGAGTTGATTTCTCACGAAATTCAAATTAACTCAGAGATTATGCTTTATTATAATAGTGAATATTTTGTTGTGGTCTAAGCCACTAGGAGGCATTGAACAAAAATTTGCATGAAAATTTTAACGATAATGAAATTAGAAGCAACCCTACCCAATGAGTTGTAGTTATGAGCAAAGATGTTAAATTGGTGCTTTTAATATAAAAATGGTAACTGCTGGCAAACATATTAAATCATAAAATGATGATAAATTCGATTCACTTTAATTGAATTAGTTTAATCCCTTAATTGATTATTATTTCACAGAACAATGAGCACAATTAATTTTCAGATTTCCGGTAGCATAATAGTTTTTTATGTGTATGATTTAAATTTTATGGATTTGTGATTTGCAAAGAAAGTGCTATTGTCTCTCTGCACCAATCGTACTGCAGCTAAAGGTGAGAAATTAATTCGTTTTATTCCCAAAGTATACTTTCTTTGTGACATTACGTTTATGTATATGAGCGTGCGATAGACTTATCTCCACGTGGTACACCTTGGGCAGCGTATACTCATACAGCAAAAAAGTCTATAAACCGACAGTTGACTTCTGACTTCAACCACCATCACTCCACTGTATTTCAAATTCGACTACTTCCACAGTACCCACCTCATCTTTTGTCTATCTTTTCTACCTTAGTCTTTGAAACGCTCTTCTGTTCCTCCCCCTCCTCTCCCGAATTTTTCACTTTGATGTTCCTCTCCCTCTGTGAAGCCTGAAGTCAACTAAAGGGCTAGTGACAGCCATCAAAACGCCTGCCATTCGGTATAAATAAATAGATGGTTATTTATATAATGGCATGTTAATTCAGAGAAATAAAGGGTATAATTCCTCTCAACTGTCGTCTAAATAGCCTTTATAGTGAAATTTATAACATGCAACATCTTAAGAATAGGTCATATTACATGCCTATTGAGCCCCTCAAGCATCAATTTTACCTCGTTCAATAAGAACAGAGAACAACTTTTGAACTGATTAGATTTACCGAATGTGATCTATCATATGCTTGCAATGTACTTCCTATTTCAAAATACTTGCAAACTTCACACTACTACGTGAATTTATTGATTAATGAGCTCTGAGAAAAATTTCCTCCCTTAAATTATATAAGTTCAATCACTTTCACTCTAGACTGAACTCTTTTGTAATTGCCGTTTTCAGATGTTATTTCGTACGTAAAATTTTTATGATTTTCCCTGTGCCGGAATGGGTTATTAAAATCATTAATTAAATATTTGACAATGCGAGATTTGTTGCGACCACTTCGAATTCAAACTTGAGCGCTACAACAGATTTCTGTTAGATCCATTTTTAACAAATTTTATGCATGAATTCGGAAAATACTTAATAAAATCAATAAAAAGTCTAAATAATTTTGGAAAACAGAAAACAGTAATGATGATTTACGAATAATCTCCACTTATCAGACAGAAGTAAATTTTATTATTTATTTAATAACTAACTGTACTTTGGTAGTAAATATCACAATGAATACAAATTAATACTATTTTATTCAAAACATGATCGAGATGGATTCAGTGTGACAAATTGAAAACGAGTAGCAAAAGCCTTAAGGTGTTGAGTGTGACTGAAAACTTTATTCAAGGACATATTTTGTGCCATGTCATTTGTTCACTAAAACACGTCATTTGTCATAGCAAATACATTTTTATCGTAACAACATATTTACTAGAGCAAAATGAATGAAATCACTCTTACGTTGAGGAAGAGCCGTTGTTAAGTTTTTTACTTGTACATTTGCATCGTCCAGCGAATCTCCTGAGAGAATAAATATAGCCTGGATTAAACTAAAACAAATTTAATTCAAATGTAAATTTTTAAGGTCTTTATCTTGTTTACTTGGACAATGCTTATTAGGGAAGGAATTGGAGGTAGGTAATTGATTTTTCTCTGCAAGTGCAGTTTTTCCTGGGACATCTTCATCATTAGGCAATTTTTTTTCACTCTCTCGTGACTGTTTAGTCCGAGAGACGGGGAATTCTTTAATAAGATGACCAGAGCCAACAGTAGAGGCTGCCAACCATTGATTGCAGTGGAAGAGATATTCGCGTTCCTTTACACCATTGAACTCAGTCACGATTACGTCTTGAACATGCCAATCAGGGCTGGTGCCAGTGTTGTCATGTCGTAATCGAATTTTACTAATTTTACCAAGATCGATTGCTTCAAGCTGTAAAAAAATGCTTAGTTATAATGTATGATACAGAATTTAACTACCATATCAACGTTTGATTTAGGGCGAATTAACAGCATTCGTCAAGTATTTGTAGGGTTAGGTTGCGCTATCCTTTAGAAGGTGCGATTTCCAGATATACGATTTTGACTGTGTTATGTTTTTAAGTCTATATATTTTGGAAACCAAGTCTTTAAAGTGAAGTATCAAGAAATAGTACCTTTTGCCCTATTTGTGAAATATTACAATCCTATTTAATGATAAACGTTACGACATGCCAATTTTCCAAATTGTTAAAATACCTTTTTCAAACTACTCAATACTCCTATTCATAATATGCTTGATTTAGAATTCTCTGAATCGATAGTTTCATCTAACTGTTAACTAATCAAATTGATTCTACTGGTCAAAATGATTTGAAGTTATGAATTTACAACCACCCCCCTCTTAACTCATCCATTTAACCTTAACATTTCTTACAACTCACTCTTCTGATCACTTTATAGACGCAGAATGGGGTGCATGATAGACTTACCTCCACGTGGTGCACCCTGGGCAACGTATACTAATACGGAAAAAAGTTTATTATTCGGCAGTTGACTTCTGACTTCAAACTACCATGACCCCACCGTATGTTAAATTCGACAACTTCAACAGTACTCATCTTACCTTTTCTCTGCCCATGTGACTACCTTTCCCTTTACGTATGTGAAACACTCTTCTCTTCCCCCCTCCCCCTCTCGAATTTTTCTCACTTTATTGTTCCCCCTCCCCTCTGTGAAGTCCGAAGTCAGCTAAAGGGCTAATACTTCCCCTCTGTGAAGCCTGAAGTCAACTAAAGGGCTAATACTTCCCTCTGTGAAGCCCGAAGTCAGCTAAATGGCTAATGGCATTTATCAAAACGCCTGCCATTTGAAATAAAGACCAATCGTACTATCAATATGTCTGCCATTTGAAATAAATAAATAGACGCAGAATAACAGTGATCATGTCCTGCAGACACCAAAGTGTCAGCCTTAGATCTAATTGTAAGAGATCGATAAATCAAGCCGGAAACGTCTGTGCAGTATGAAGCACAACACATTTCAGCACCTTAGATAGACAAGGTGCGTGTTTAAAATTGTTGAGGTCACATATGGGGAAATTGTATTGTTTAAAATCATGTGTTAAATCTGAAGAACTAGTGTGAAATAAAAATTTGGCACATTTTGTCACGCCATATGATATCTCGGCTAAGAAACAATTGAGTATGGACTTGATTGTAATTGAATAATCATTTGGAGCACCTCATATATTAAGTGGAATTTTAATCACGACTAATACTTAATTTGCACTCTTCAATAGCGAGGGGGGGGGGTTAAAATAACTATAACTGGAAATAGTAATAAAAAGGAAATTAATTCAACGTAATTGGCTAGTCAAAATTTGTAATGCTAACATATCAATTGCTATCATATATTTTGTTATTTCAGAGCAAAACAATGATACTTAAGCTGAAATAATAAATAATAACTTCGTATGATACGACAGTGATCATTATCACCCCTCTAGCATCCATGAAGGACACGTGCTTTAACTCAAAAAATTCTTTGTTTGTCTCTGATTAGACACAAATCAGTCTAAATATCCACGTTTTCACTCACTTTGCGCTAATAATTACTCCCTCTACCCGTCCCCCCTCCCCTATTTCTTATCCTCCTCTCTCCTTTCCTTTCTACTCTAATTTTTTGACGACCTGATATTTCAGATCGACTTCTTAAAAGAATAGTATTCGAACACGGGATAGCTCCAAATGTTGTCCTAAAAGCTGAATTCAGCACTATTTCAACTCGTTATGTGTTCCGTTTAACTGCTAGGACTGCTATTAAATCAGTACGTGTAAGTTTTGAGTTATTTTCAGTAATTCCTCGATTTATTCAAGGATAGTGTACAGCAAAGGAATTCGACATGAAGATTCATAGCTACTGCGTTCAAACATATTGAAGAGGAAGCACTCCGTGGCTCTATAACAGCCTTTCTTAGTATCACGTCATTCTTTTCTGGTTTTGTGTTGTAACATTTGGTTCTAAAGAAGGTGTTCAAGAAGTTCCTTTTTCGACTCCTCATTTAGTCATCTTGAATGTTGGATAATATTATTATTATTGTTATTTATTTATGATATTTGTCATTTGCTTCGTTGATACTAAAAAAGCACACATCCAGCGTTGCAAAAATTAAGAAAAAAGCCTGAATGACCCTCCTTTCAATATCAGTCATATCCGTAGTGAGAATTTTTGCACTTTTAATAGAATTTGAACACCCGATTAAATTAAAAAGCACAGGCTTGGACTTCAAGTAAATCAATTTTAGGAGCTTAGTTGCGATTTAAACGGCTGATACACTTTATGGTGAAAGGAAATCATTTAATTTGAAAACGGTGGTTATCTCATGCTCTCATGAAAATTTTCTCCCAGAAGACTGGATGACATTTATTACCCGAATTGCGCGAATGAGAATTCGTCTAATTGCTCTCATCGCCAACAAGTTTATGAAAAAGCGGAAGTATTATCGGCTATTGCTTAACGCACAAAGCCGCGACAAACCAACTTCTTTTCACTAGTATCTTTGTAAGAAAATTGAAGTCTAATTTTGGAAGCTAAATATTATGCGGGAAGCCGGTACTTTAGCTTATTAATTTTTTTCAACGTTGATCGTGGATCAATAGAGTCATCTTGTGTTTCGATACGTAGTAGATGACTTAACACACTGGCAAATTTTATTTAAATCAGGAAATGTGTGTATTCTAGCGCAGTAACTCAAAAGAGTGTTGCGCATTGAATCTTTCCTAACAGATAACGAGTGCAAACCATTATTAATTTGGTGGATTCTCCCCTGATACGGAAATATGGTTAAATAGTCGACAAGATGACGATATTTATGAAGTAGGAAATAGGAAAACTGAAGTCACCATTCAACTTACCCTGAAAATGGCTTCTCGGCCTTGAGACAGAAGTTGTCCTTTGGGATTATGAAGGACAAAATCACCAGATTCGGAGGTTTCACCGATGAATGTCAGATATGCTTGAGAAGTTGTTCCAGCACCAGACTCGTTAGATGTCCTTACACGGACTTCATAGACGGTTTCTATAGAAAAGGTATTTAAAATGATTTGGGTTCCTTGATGGAACATTTTTAACTTCAAACTAAATGACAGTTTATATCTATGTTGACACTGTGGAAAATGAATGTGCTCACAGATGTTTTATTAATCCCCTTCTAAACGATTAACTTTAATCTACATTAGGCATCCTAAATAATTATAAATTTGGATATTACCTACATTTTTCAACCGTATTTCGCTTACAACCAGATGAGATACTATGGGACAATTTCTCAATCAACGATGCGTCGTATGTCAAATTTCAACCTCTGTCAATGTAAAATAAACGATTCTCCTAAAAAGAACTTTTGAAGGAGTGTTCTAAAAAGTAGTAGTTTGACATCAACAACTTTCTCAAGTAAGTTAAAGAAAGTTAAAACATAAGTTTTTCTGTGTTTAAAATAGCGCATTTTTGTCAGCTTCACAACTTGTCAAGAAAGTTGCATCTTAAACACACTGTATCTGAATATTAAACGTATATTTTCAGTTATCAAAGTAGGAAATTTCCACCCTCTAACTTCTGAACTGGTACAGCGAGAGATGTACACTTTCTTTTGATATCGCTCGAACTAAAATAGGCCCGTAAAACGTAGATAAATGCAATCCAAACCATGTCATTACCCAAGATGCAAGATCAGAGAGAGGGAGAGCATTAAGATCTCAAGTAACTTGAACTAAGATGCATTGATGGGTTCTGTGTTCGCATTTACTCCCCACTATCACTTCGTTCTTATCTTTTTTAAGTATTTTGCCAGTCATAATGTATTTATTTTTTGGTAGCTTGCTCAATTAATTCGATCCAAATTGATTGATTCAATAAGTAGACAAGGTGGGAATCTCGTTTAAGTATGCATCTAAATATAATTTCTATTCCCACCGCAAATTTCAATTAAAAATCCTGCCACCATTTCTAAGCTGTGCAAAATTTTCTCTAATTCCAAACAAGAAATTAAATGTGAGAAACGTTGAGAGATATAAACGCTTAAACCAAATTTGATTAAATTTACAACATTGACCACACATTGCGCATTTCTAGAGCTCAATAAATCTTATTTCATTTGGCATATTTTGTTTATGGCTTAAGCAGAATTTAACTGAATAAACTTATCGCCTGCTTGATTAATTTTAACGTTAAAAACTTATGTACTTTTGCGATCTGAAAGTGGGGTTTGTTTTGCGGAGGCAGGAAGCAATTCACAGAAGTTCTGTCCATTTTCAACATCCCGAGGTGGTATCCAATCATTTGCAAAGAACCAAAACTCTTCATGTGGTCGATTGTGCAAAGTTAGAAGAGGCGTCTCTTCAGAAATTCTCGCGTTCTCTAAATGACAACTGCATCGACTATTTTCACATTTTCCAGATTCATTTGACGCTGATTTCTCTAAAGCATAAAGCAAAGTTACGAGTAGAATTGAGATGTCCTTATTATAAAGTAGTATCAAACATATATGTCAAGTATGCAAAAATTCAATCGAGAGATTTGGAAACTAATTGAGAAATATTCTATTTACCCATCAACAGCTGGGAAAAAATTTGGATAGCATACATCATTAGACACCTTTCTTCGAGATCAGATGGTTCTTCCAACTGGAGACAAACCGGAAACAGGAATTTGTTTAAAGAACTTAAAATCGACTATTCATCAGGCTTTATAGAAATCTCGAAAATGGATTTTATTTGTCTAAATTTGACGAATTTTTTCACATATAGTCAGCTTTATCTAAAATTCATGAAATCTCCAAATAGGTATCTATTTTTCAAAATTATTTTAACATCATTTCTAGTAGTAACAACAAATTACATAGCCGACTATCTTAAGTAGAGAAACTTCAATAAAGACCCTCATTTGCGAGCAAAGAATCGTGAAATGTGCTTTAAAACATTCGATTGCGAAAATGGGAGCGCGTGGGTGTCATTTTTTATGACTTCAAATACTAAGAGCCTGCTCGAACGAAATTTCTATTTTTATCGTGCAGTCATACTTCACTATCGAATGGTCTTGTACTTTATCTATTGAGTGATTTCAGACATATTTTTTGATCTCATCTAAGCCCAATAGTTATGGAAATTATATTCATAGAAGCAGTCACATTTGTATTATCCCAACAGCAGTACCTCGTTCCACTTTTTCCATCTTATTCCAATTTATTGGAGCTGGTAATCTAGCTTCTCTGCTATTTACATTTCAACCGCCCGGGCTTTCAAGTTAGTATTTGAACGCATTAACCTTTTGATGCGACGGAAAATGGACTTTCATCTGAAAGAATATCATCTCTTCATAAGAGATGCCTAAACAAACTTACGCGATAACCGCATGTTAGGACAGAGTTCCAATAAGCAGTGAGAACAAACGTGAGTTGCAATTTTGCGAATTCGAATTTTCTCCAGAAGCCAATTTGCCGAGGGTCCCTGTCCATTGTGACCCACCCGAATCTTTGTGATGTCACCAACCTCGCTGGTATAGACCTTGGAGTAGAAAAGAAAGCAAAATTCTCTCAATACCGAATGAATAAAGAATAATTTAAGTACGCGCAACAATTGTTAGAACAATAACCTTAACAATAAATATATTGAAAGGTTACTAACAAATTATGGACAAAGTAAAATAAATTTGACCATCAGCTTCAAAATCTTGCGTATTTCCTTTTCATTTTCAAAACTTTTGTATACCTAATAAAACTTATTCATCGAAATAACCATTGTTATTAACTATAGTTTTGGTATTTTAATCATATGGTAAAATCGATAAATGTCTAGTTTGATCATCGTTTCTGCAACATACAAAATTTTAACATCTATAACAATCGATTCATCATTACTATAGTTCACCTTGGCTAAACTGTGTAAGTCCTGCTATGTTAAAATGTCATTTCAAACTAACAGTTAAGCTATTGATAGGATTAATGCCTCAGAAATCCATTATGTAATACGCGCATCTGAAAATCGATTTCAGGGTGAATATTTAATTATATTTTCCAGAATTTCAATAAAAAAACTTATTGTGAACATTCACTCCAATTTAGTTTCACTGTTTTTGAGGAGGTAAAAAGTTGTATTTTATTTTCAATCCCAATAGACCGGTTGCATCAACAACTCCCTCGTTGACTTGCTTAAAAAACCCTGAGCTCGAATTCATTCGCGAATTCCACACGACGTTTTCGTCTTGAAAAGATACGAGGATACATCATAGTGTTCCAACAATTATATTGTTATAATGGGGTGTGTGATAGACTTACCTCCACGTGGTGCACCCTGGGCAACGTATACTCATACGGCAAAAAAGGCTATTACCTGGCAGTCGACTTCAAACTACCATGACCCCACTGTATGTTATATTCGACTACTTTCACAGTACTCATCCCACCTTTTTTCCACCTTGTCTACCTTCGTCTTTGATACACTCTTCTGTCCCCCCCCCCTCTCGAATTTTTTACACTTTGATGTTCCTTCCCCTCTGTGAAGACTGAAGTCAACTAAAGAGCTAATGATAACAATCAAAACGCCTTTCATTTGATATACTAATAATAATATTGTCATAATTGGTGCTTGGTCACAGAATTTCCCCGAGCAATTCACAAAACGATCTCTTTGCGTTGCATGACTATTGGAAATAAATTTTTCCTTTAATTATAAACTGGAATGTCCTTGTCGATGTCAAATCGCCTATTGTAGTCAATTAAGGCAAACACTCAAACACTCCGACTTAAAATGAATTACTGAAAACGTTGCTTTATTTGCAAAATATTATTGACACAAATGAAATCATTCAACTTACATTAAATGTGACGGTTTCACCAGTGCCAAATTTCTTCCCGTCGGAGTTAAACAGCATGGTTTCAGTTCTCAGTGCACCCCTGTCGCCGTACAATTGCAGGTACACTAGGGCATCTGTACCGCTTCCAATTTCATGTCCCGTATAGAAGGTGATTTCATAAGGAACCACTGAGGAAAAATGAAGAATAGAATAAAATAGTTACTTCATTCAAACAACCTCATGGGCTTCTCAATAGGAAAAACATCGAGACCTCTAAGAAAACGTATAATAAGTGCTCCACTTTCTTCAAGATTCTGATGACTATTCTTAAATCTGCATTTTTTACCTATTTATTAGCCCGGTCGTTTATAGGTGCAATTAATAAATGAACTTAAATCACTCAACGGTTGACAGAAATGTTGGCTCCTCGGTCAAAAGCTACAGAATATTTTTGCCAAATATTTAATTTCTAAATGTGTCAGGAATATTAGCCCTTAGAAGGTTGATTCCACTATGTTTCGAAATGAAATTTCTGGGTTAGACATTGGTTTTCCAAACTGATTGTGTAAATTCTACTAACAAAGACCCTCATTGAACGTAATCTATGGCGGATTAAGAAGCTTTTATCCCATTGCGATTTTGGTAACTAGGATTAACTAGCACATTAACGATTAAAAATAAACGATTTCTATTTCTGTGACTTAAATGACATCCACATTACTACTCTGGAAACTGGCGAAAAGATCATGCTAAATAATTAAGAGCACTTTAAGAATAAAAATGAAGATTTGAAGGTTCATTATGATAACAAAAAAGCCCGCGTTTACTTTGTATCCTAGATGCCCAGGGTCTGGGTTATGATTCTACGAAATGAATAGAGATTTAAATCACTTAAGCACATTCACTCCAATTCAAATTTAAATCTTTCAAGATGAGACTCACATTAAAATCAATTTCATTTTAAAGTTACGAAATTTTTAAAAAATCTTATAATCTGGTAATTAACTTCGAAATAATAAACTCCCTTCAGGTTGTATTAACTAATATTGTAACGAAAGGCGCCATGTCTTGTAATTCGGGAAAAAATTGATCTCAGTATGCTTGGATATCCCCTTGGTAGCTTATGTTAGAATATATTGTGCTCTCTATTAATTACAATGAGATCGAATTTCAAAAAATTTACAACATTCTATTCTGCTTGGACATTTTCCTGAATGCGCACTAGCCTGAACATGTCAAACCGGACCCACTGTTAAATTTCTCAATTAATTCCCACCGACCATTTGTTGTAGGCTTTTTTGTCAAGCTTTTAATCACTTCACCAAATCCTCTACAAACAGGACAACATGTGGGGATTCAAATCTATATCTATTAGACAGTTTACTTTTCCATTAAATTAAAATTTGCCTATTTAAGTTCTAACCTCCCTCCCCCCTCCCCCAACTTCAATACACCATGTGGGTGTTCCACTGCCAACTTATTTACTCTTAAATCATATTATAAAGTTAAATATAATATTTATCTTCTGTGTTAATTGAATGCAATATATTATATGGCAAAGTTCATTGGATATTACGTTCAAATATTTATGAAAGCAAACATAAAATGTCACTATATTATCTTTGAAATTCATTTTTGCCAAAAGTTCGAACATTTTTAAATGAAGACTAATTAAGGGATTATTAGAGCCTACATTTTCTCATCTTCATCATATATTAATTCAATATCACTCAGTGGATGACTGTTTCAGTAAAAGTTGGACTTCGATAATGGAATGTCTTACTAGGTTGACGATGCAATTTTCTGATTGGCTAAATTAAACTGCCCTTATTCTCCCTAGACTGATATTTTATAAACGAGACTGTCTGAAACACATACCATTGAAGAGTCTTTCGACTGATGTAGGCTGAAGTGAGAATTCCATTTTGTCCTCGTTATGGTTTAAAGAAAGCCACCGTTCAACGTTGAAGAAATATCGAAGGGAGAATTCATTCACCGTTAAGGAGAGTTTCTTTAGGTACCAGGTGGCATTTGTGTCCTTTCTTTCCAACAAAATTTTGGCCATTTTCATCTATTTAAAGAAAGCATGACTTAGCTCATTCATTACCACTCTTCCAAATTGCTGAAAAGTATCAAGTTTAACAATTAGTTGGAAGTGATATCAAATTAATCCTAAAGTACCTTAAAGAGATGTGAGTGAAGCTTTGATCGATTGAAGTACAATGTGCTTACTTTCGATATAGCATCTGCGCAATTGATTTTAATCATTCTGTCACTATAATGCACGTAGATATCATTGGAATAATAGATTCTAAATGAAGTATTATTCAATGCGCACCTGGAAGTTGAATATAAACATTGTAAAATATGTAGGATTATTATTGTGACGATATCCGTCAATAAACCTCACGCCAAGCATTATCTTTATCATTAAATAGTTTAATGTTCAATAAATATTTATTCATTTGGATTTATTTTTGACGTAGTTATTAAATATTCACCTTTCCAATGAAAGGCGCCTGGAATTGGAAAATGTCCTCTTGACCGAGTCGGAATGGACCTGACGGAGACGGGGAGTCCTTCAGAGGTACAAATTGTGTTTCACCAGCGTCGCCCACAAGAGAAATGAGTACAGTGGCATTTGTATCTGCTTTAAGTATTTCACCCGTCACGGTGTGCAAAGTATAGTTCACTCCTAAAACACGTTTAAGATATATTTATTGGTTTGTTTGGTGTTATGCAATGCTCTTCTTTTGCTCAATCTAAGCAAAATCCGTCAAGCTATTTGCCTAATTCTTTCTAGTTGGTAGATAGGGTAGTAGGTTTTAAGTACGTAGTCATGTAAATTTTGCGCCTATCGCTGATATCAAAACTAATAAATAAACGTATATAGAGAGTGCTAAGCATAAATGTTATAGACAAATATCTAGTCGCCAATTTTCGGGTTGTAAAAGATATTCACGCCACCTTAGAGAGACCATACTTCTTCAGCATACATGTGATATTGAAGATAATGAATGACTGAAACTAATTCGGATCATAGAGGCGATTAACTTCCATCAAGATGATTCGCACCAGCCTTTCAAAGGAGATTACGGTAGCTGCTCAACACTCTCTCAACGTTGTGGAAAGAAGCTGGAGTGAACTCAGGAATTTTATTAGGGACTATGAGACTAGTGTGACCAGAAGAAAGTAACATAACAAACAGTCCAACGTTTTTACAGATTTCTACCATGGCGATTGACCTCGGCGATGACCTTCGCTACTGATGGATCATACCCGCCTTCCAAAGATTCATGTCCCCTAAAAAGAGTTTTTAGAAATTGTCTGAAAAGACCAAAAATATCTGTGCAAAGTCAAGGATCAGCTGTTGGAATGATAGATGGGCTGGCTTCGAGTCATGTAGACTAAATTTGTTCAAGACGTCATGATGTTCTGACGTGTACCATTCTACTACGCCAAGGGAAGTTAGATGACCTCAAAGCACTTTTCCAGTGATATTTGGGTTGAATCCAGATCCCCGCGCGGAATTGATGGTCAGTGTAATAGTGAAGATCTTGAGTATCGTAATGAGAGTAGCCAAAAGAAGGAAGCAGGACTAAGCCCTTTGTCACACCTCAAGGACAGGATTGAAGTCATAGTAGTTGCTGAAGATGTTGATTTTGTGTAATAAAAAAACCTTGACAGTAATTTCACTTTCTCCTTTGTTAGACTTCTTTCAAAACTACTAAGCTTGTAGTTACTTCATCCTCGAAACCCTGTAATCATTACAAAACTAAGAGGTAGTAAATTATGGTTAGGTGAACCAATTTACCCCTCCAACATATCCTATCCACGGCAAATAAATTAAATTTTATTTTACAAAATTACATGAGAAATTTGTGTTAAAATTGAACCGTGCGTCATTAAAAAGAATTTTGTTTTCTTGGTTCCAATAATTTTGATAGACTCATTAAAAATGTAAGTTGCTATCTCGAAAATAAGAATTTTAGCTTCAATTTCAATGAATATTTTTTAAAAAAACGGTAAGGAAATAATATTCCCATTTTAACATGAAATCTCCCCAAAATAAATGTCTCAATCGAATGAGGAGCACAACCCTGGCTTGGTTGAGGCGAAGAAGCCCTTACGCGTTAGAACATTCTGAAATTTTCAGACACTAATGACACCTGGAAACAAATGAAGTCATGTCTTCAGAGACTTCCCACGCTACTAACAATTAATAGTCATGTCGTAATCAAGGCAGCTAAAATTGCATTAAATTGCTAAGCTCCCTGTCTGTAACTAATAGCATACAGCCCAAATAAACGTGTTCCACGCCATACGTCTATTTCTTCAATATCGTCGATAATTTCGGCAGCCATTCAAAATGAGGAGATTTTGCCACAGCGATTACGGAGTATAAGCCGAGGATCATTAGTGTAGCGTATCGCAATAATTGTCACTGGTTAAATCGAAACCAGTCAAAAAATTTGCAATCAACATATATCCAAATTACTAACAAAAGTTTCTGGTTTCAGTTTCAAGATTTCATGACCTTGGTTAATTAATTTTAGAGTAAATTATAGACTTATCTCCACGTGGTGCACCCTGGGCAACGTATAATCATACGGCAAAAAAGGCTATTACCTGGCAGTCGACTTCAAACTACCATGACCCCACTGTATGTTATATTCGACTACTTTCACAGTACTCATCCCACCTTTTTTCCACCTTGTCTACCTTCGTCTTTGATACACTCTTCTGTTCCCCCCCCCCTCTTGAATTTTTTACACTTTGATGTTCCTTCCCCTCTGTGAAGACTGAAGTCAACTAAAGGGCTAATGATAACAATCAAAACGCCTGTCATTTGATATAATAATAATTTTCAATAAAATTAACTTGCGTGGAAGTAGTGGGTTTGATTTGATGGCGTCCACATCTGTTACTGTAAAGAAATTCGAAGGTATCATTTTAGAAGTGCATTAAATTTGCGACTGAATAAAATGAAGTTACATTTAGTTTTTTTTCAAGTAATATTAACAAATTTTAAATTACATTTATGAGACTAAAATACGCCATTATTTTCGACTCTCTCTCTCTCAACCTCTTTATTCGAATTAACTATAGCTAAATAAAATGAAAAGTTTTCAGTCTGGTTTCTTAAGAAAAATAAAAAAGTAAATGTTGGGTTTAATTAAATCTAATCTTAAATACTTTTTCGATGAAAATTTTATTGGTTCCTCATGTTACCAAAGACAATTATCATGAACGATCGCCATTACTCAAGCACTTTCTTCTTCACAAATATTGTTTCAACATTTTCCTCTTCTCATGCGAGATTTAATAGGGCCTTCTAGCACTGATATTAATATGATTTGTGCACAATAAAAGCTTTTGTCTCCAAGCCAGTGCATCCGTCGTAACATGGACACCATCCATGTCTGCAATTAGAGGTCTTGGGTTCGAATCTCATTTGGAAACATGCAAACCTGTTAAAATCTGACCATAAAATGAGTTCATCTGCTAGTTGCATCAAAATGTTTCAGAATTTTGGGATTGCTTATAAAATGGATCGATAAAGTAAGGCAGAGATAATAACTTTCTCTTTAATTATTTTAGTTATTCAATACCAGTTAAAAACAAAAGAAGTATGTCAACAAAAACTTGAGTTTTATACAATCACTTTATAATGTAAAAAGGAATTTATATTTTAATTCCTAACTAGTAATTTTATTAATTTGCTGCTAATCGAGTAAACTAATAATTCTCAAATAAATGACGAAAAGTTAACTCCACTACAAGCCAAATTGTTCATAGGTTTGAGAAATTTAGCCAAATTTGTATTCAGTGAATCGGTTTTAGCAAAACTTTCATGCCTGTGAAAACGGAATAACTCAACCCAGTTTTTGCCATGAATAACTTTTAACAATAGCGCCTACTTCGCAGTAGATGTAAATACGTGCAAATCGACTCTTTTCTACCCAAGTGAGTGAATTTTCCCCTCGAAACCCGCATTTAAGTTAAATTCTTTAAAATCAATAACAAACGCGCAGTACTCCTATTTTCAGATATGGCTGGTGGCGTTTAAGCCTATAAAATCACTGCTTTAATCGACTCTAGTAACAATTAATAGCCTCATAATTTGAGCAATCTTTAGATTTTATGAGAATAGAATTAAATATATATATATATATATATATATATATATACTTAAACTCTAATTGTTTATTTTGAATGAAAAACATACCTTCGGATGTTTGCTTTGGATAGAGCTCAATTTCGAACAACCCATTTGGCTGTTTTCGATCGACCCAACTAATTAATTAGATAACATTTACATCTAGGGAATTTAATGGTGCAATCATAAATATTAATTAAAGTGCTTTTAAATGTGTTAATCAGTAGAAGTGAGTAAGAGATAGAGAGAAAATATGCTGAAAATATTATGCACACATATAATTACACATAGGAATATGCGTGATATTTAAAATATCTGCACGGATGTTTATTAATGGATTGAAGTTAATAGAACTTACTCATTAAAGTCGATTTCGATTGCATTATCGGTATCCTCCATTTCTTCAACAATTATCTTTTCCAAATGCCATTTTGAAGTCGGTCCTCTACCATCGTGACCTATTCTTACCTTCTCCAACCTTCCCAACTTCACAGCTTCTATCACGAATTCATCGACCTAATTAATGATAATAGTAGTAACAAGAAGGAAGAAAGGTGAGACTGTGAAATATCCACATCATTTCACTGGGTTTGGCGATTTTAACTTCATCTGCATAACGTTTTTTCAATCTCTACCACAATGCATAATTGGACGATAAGCAGACAGAGGAATTCTTAGAAAAAAGCTCTTTAACCAAACCTAGGCAATTTCTAAAAGCAACTTTAGACGCAACTAATATTTTTCACAGTATTTTGAATTACGATCATAGCTCGAAGCAAACTAAAGAGGATATTTACATTTTTTTGTGAAGAACGAGTCAAGTTTAGGGAACCTTGGGGTGAATTTAAGAAAAATAAGTATCTGTTCAAAACGGTTTTCTTGCACATTCTTTGCATTTTGCCTCATTAATTGAGGTAATGAAATCTGGGAGATCAAGAACAGTTTTGGAAGATTTAAAGCCAAATTTTTTGCATTCCCTTAGGAAAAGCTATATGAAATATAATCACATTTTGATGCAAGTATTATCAAACACTCATCTAAACCTATTTAAAAATTATTAATAAATTTTAAACGGTCACGATTTGTGTGCTCTATGGTATACATCATTTCAATGGCTTGATAACCTTATTAGTCAACATTGGTTTAGTTTGATATTCCGATCTTCCATTTAAGGGTTTTGTTAAGGTTCTTAATAATTTGTCTTATGCGATTTTACATGATTTATAGTTATTTATTTGTAATTTAAATATGTTACCTTTCCTCTAGCAAAAGCTTCTCTGCTACGCAGTTGACGATTGCCAGAATCAGATATTGTTCCAAATATGTTTATATACACGTTAGAAGATAATTTTTCAGCTGACTGCTGGCCGGTATACACAATCACCTTATAATGCCAGGCTGAAATTTTGAATAAGAAATACTAATTTCAATGATAATATATCCATTAGTAAATATATAGCTATTACGGTGAAATCGGCTCCAGTATTCAGTCTTGTTTAATTAAAATTTGACATCAATAGACTAACAAGCATCAAAAAAGTTAAAGCAAGACCTTTTTAATCGCATTTTTGAGCTCTAGAGCAAAAGCTACTTCTCAAGACCTAAAATTTCTTATTTTCAATCTAGCCTCTCTTTAAAGTCTGAGCTTGTCTACTTCCAATCCGTCCTTCTGTTGCTAGCATTAAGAGATAATTTAATTAAATCCAGTTGACCAACTGGATTTAACTCACTTAAACCTTTATATTTCCGTTTGTAAGTTGATTGTACCTAAATCTCTTCAGTAACTTTTTTCGTGCTGTAAATATACGTCTTAGTCATAAAGGAAACATTTTTGTCCTTCAAAGTAATAATATTTCTATAAATCGATAAAAATCTAAATTCAATTAAAATATATTGATTGCGGAATAGTGGCTCGGAGAGAAAATGAACGAATTTTTGGAAGATTTTATAAACTGAATTTAAATTCGATCAAATACAGTGATGTGGAGAGAGAAGTCAGACGTCGTAAACTCCTCATACTGTCAATAAATTGTAGGGTAGCCTGAGAACAAAACGATAATTGACGCTAAAACGCACAATTTAATAAATCTCATGCTCTTCCAAGGAATAAATTTGCATTGGTTTGAATTAGAAATGGCTGTTAAGAAGGCTCTAACCGAGTAATTTTAATTCATTTTAACTTCTTACAAAGAGGTCACTTGAGAATAGAACTGAACAAATTAAAAAAATACAAGAGTAGCTTTAAATGTGGTAAAGCATTTTGTCCCCTTTTTAAGAGTAATTCCGTTTAGTCCCAATTATTTCACATTAATCTTCCTCTCTCGCTGTGTTTGATAAGAGAGGTAACTTAATTAGCCACTCAAAATCGTCTTTCCTCATGAAATATTCATACACACACTCTATTTGCTTTACTTGTTGTGAGCACCCATAGTGAGCAAAAACACTTTCTGTTAAGTAAAATATTCATGCAGACTTAAAAACCATGTATCCTGCTACCCTAGCAATAAGAAGAACTAATTCTGTCAGCCTCTGTCAAATAACAGTTCAGAAACTATAGATGTTACTAGCATCTCACAATTTTTTGATCCTTTCGCAATCGAGCGAGTTTGTGTTGAATGAGTTTAGGACAATGCAATTCGGTACGTACCTTCATAGTTGAAAATCACAACCAAATCAAATTTTATGTAGTCGTCTTGAAGGGTAAACTCCAACCAAACAGTCACAAGCGTAAAAGTTTTAAGGATGATCGAAGCTAAATAGATATCATAAGTTTTTAACTGAAATCGCCCCAATTATTTGATCCAATCGATAGGTGTAGGGTTTAAAGATACTTGTATCAAGTCGAAATACTTTTTTCAAGCATTAAGAGCTTCTGACTTAAATTAACTACGAAAATTTTCCCAGTAGAGACTGGAAAACATTTGAACCAAGTAATAGTAGTAGAAAGATTCTAAAATAGTTACAACTATCTTACTTAAATATTTTAAGTATATTTAATTTTTCACGATGTAAACTTGGGAATTTTGGTGAACCATTTTGAAGCTTCAACAAGAGCCAGGTTTACCTTGTAAATTCAGCAGGAACCTACTTCGAAGTAAGCAATTTTATCAGCTGAACACGTTCCATTGAGTCACTCTTCATCAATTTTGCAACCGATTACAATAAAGGGGCATACAAATTGCCCCCATTGACACTTTGCATTTCGCTAGTACGCAATCCAAACTGTGCTGCTTATCTCTGCTTTTAATTTAATTTATTAATTTTAAATGCCGAATGCTTCCCTTTGTCAGACTAAATATCGAAAATATTTGCATGATGTGGGAAAAGAACGCATGGCTATTAGTGTCGATCATTCGATTTTTTCATTCCAAACTTTCACACAATTGAAGAAGTGTGTCCTGCCATTTTAATATAATCCTTTGACAGACTCTGAAAATTACAATAGTGGCAGTGCAATGTGGTGATTTAGTTCAATGTAATGATTTAATTTTGAGGAAAATTTCCGTTAATAACAAAAAATGCTTTAACAATACTTGAGATGAGAAAGTAATGTTTTTTTGTCAAATGTGATATCCAAGTTTGATTTTAATATGAAAATTATTTTAAGATGCCTGTTTTCATATTTTAAGCTTTCAGTCACTCTGGCACGTCAGTTTCACAAAGGCGATACTGTTTAGCTGTGCCATGACAAAATTCTGCCTGTTTCTTCTCTACAAAAAGATAAAATTTATCAACCTCAAAAAGTGACTCGTATTCAACAACAGCTGGTTTGGTCTAAAGATGGAGATAGCAATGTCATCCGGCCTTCAAAATTCGGCAAACTACGAGTGCACAGTTTTTGAAGACGAAAGTGACTTAGCTTGAGAAACACGGGATTACAAGAATTCAGGCGAATACGAAGTTTCGCTATTGAGAACAAATTTCCGTATATACCACTCAGACTTTATTGAAATTGCATGATGGTGAAATCGTTGGCTTTAGAAACAAAAACTTCTAGCTTTACAATCTACCTCCATTTTCAATAAGTGATATATTGAAAGTTCGTGCTCATTTTCCAAAGATGCCACCAGCTAACAAATAGATTTACTTCATATAATAAATAAAACCTTACATAATACGGATTCCTTAACATTTAAACTCTAAATTTTGAGCTCGTTTTCAAAGAAAAATAGCCATATACTTACATGATGGCCTTTTAGATGGTTCCACAGTGTACTGAGAGTTTATTTTTCTTTTAGTTGATTTTTCAGTGAAAGGGAACCATTTGTTGCAGTGGAAGATTTGAGTAATTCCCGTATTCAAGCAGTAAAGCATGACCTAACAGCACAACAGCAAAACTTCGATTTATGCGGACAAAACATGTTAATAAGCAATCAAATACTTGTAGTGCTCAACCTTTTCAACAAACCAATCGGAAGACATTTGAGGAGCATCATGTCCAAGGGCTAGTTTTGAGCTCGGTGACAGTCTATGGCAACCATTAATTTGGAATTTGACCACCGATTCTCCCGTGGGTTTCAAATGCTCTCCTGGAATACAGATTATGGGAGAACAACGTTTATTTGGTGGCAAAAAGTCACCCTCAATAATAGATTTATTAAAGGCTTCTTCGTCGAAATTTTTCTCTTTGGGTCCAAACAATCGGAAGTATATGTCTGCCAGTTTGCTCATTATGGGTTTATCGCATTTTGTGAAGAAGGTCATTTCGAATTTCTGATCTAATCGAAATGAAAGTTAAGAATTTAGACTTTAAAATGACCCCACTAACAGCAAAGAATTCCAAGCATACCTGGAACTACTGGAAGAGGATCCTTAACTTCTGCTGGTTGGAGATGCAGAGAAGCTGTAGCACCGTCTTGATCAGCACTTATCCATTGACCACAATGGAAGGTGAATGATTTCCCCGCTGCAACATCTTCCACTAAAATCTGAATTTATACCATATTGGATAGCATAGTGATCAGAGCACGTCACTGCTAGGTCAGATGACGTGAGGCGGATATGCATTCGGACATTGAATGCAAGAGAAGTGGCAGATTGGGAATAATTCAAACGAAACAACGTTGAAATACTCTCCACTACGCCAATTAAGAGTTAGAAAATACATTGCTCAGATGATTTAGAGAAGTTCCTTATTGATCGTAACGCTTCCTCGATTAGTTCATTTGAAGCAAATTGCTAGTTCCTACCATAGACCTTGTAGCATGGAAGCCTTCCTATTTACTTCAATCAACGTATGCTCAGAGAAATTCCCCACCCCCACCCCCCACCCCACCCTTTATTACTAACGTGAACAGTGATCATTACAGTCATTCACTTCGATTTAAAGGACGCGCACCTCCAAGAATTTCGTGTTCCGAAGAACAAAACCAAGAAAACTTACAGAAAGACTAGATCACCTGCGAAGACAATAGCTGGAAGGAAAGATTATCTTTAACTATTATTTACTTTAAGTTCATTATTTGATTTGTTATTTATAAAATCCTATGGTTAATAAGATTATTTCCTTTCAGTATGTTTAGTCAATAGAAGATTTGACTAATGATTATAAAGTAGATTTCATTTTCTGACAAGGAAATTTCATGGAAACTCGCCATAATTTGAAAATAAGATTTAGATTTCGCGTCAGTTATGAGAGAGGGTTACATTAAATCATTAATAGTGATTATTTTATTAAATCCAAAATGCTAAATTTTCTCACTAAATCGAGATTTACCAATCAATGTAGGGATTCATCACCATCCATCATTTCACATATATTCAATTGACAAACAATTATAGATTGTGTTGCATTCTCTACTGTTTCGGGTCAAAACAAATTTTCGTAACTTTGGAACTTTTAAATGTCGAAATTACCTGTTTATTTTCATTATTTAATCAACAAATTGGCAAGCCAAATAAATTCGTAGATTTCACAAGCCTCAAAAGTAACAAAAAAAACATATTGAGGTCTTTTTATGCAATATTATGCCTTTTGTAATGAAGTTGTAATTGGTTAATGCTTCCAGAAAGAGTGATTGGTGGCAAATGATGAAATTGATATAAGAGTTACTCAATTGAATTTGGTAAATTAAACAATAATATTCCGCTTAAAGTGAATTAAGTAGATAAATTAAAGTTTAATATGATTTACTATAGTGCATATAAAGAATTTGCAAATCTGAAATGTGCCACAAGAACTCGAGCAGTCGAATCAAATTTCATGGAAATTTAAAAAAAAATTGAATTAGGCAATTCTCTTAAGCTCATTTACTCATCATTACAGGAGCCAATGAGGTAACTGCATTAACTGTGGGAATATCAAGTGGCTTACTGACATCTCGCATTCGATTTCTCAAAATTCCATTTTCCAATTGCTGTGTGTTTGACTCAGTTCTAACTCCCCAAAGACGAATAGAAGCACCTTTTTTATATATCAAATATTGTTTTACTAATTTAAAATAGATAATATTGTCAATTTCAATTCTGTCAGTTAGTAGATTCTACCGTATGAAGCAACTGCCTCGTGTTTTTTTTCAATAATTAAAGAACTTTTAGCCTTTTTTATTAACATATAAGATTTCCATAGCTAAAGAAA